AAAAGAAAAAGAAAAAAGAAAATAAAAAGACTGATGTGGCTGCAGAAGGAGCTCTCCAACCAAGCTGGCTTTGCAACAAAGAGAGGAAACAAGAGGCTGCTGAATGCACGTGTAGCACTGTTGAGGGAATGGGTGATAGCCACGTTCAAGCTGGGAAGGAGCCAGGTTGGGGAGAGAAGCTAAGGACGATGGGAAGGGCAGAGAGGAGAGGCAGGAAAAGGCACAGGGCCACTGCTTGGAATAGATGGGAAAAGGACAAGGCCCTGCAAAGAGATGGCAGAATCTCACCTTGAATCTGTTTTCTCCATCAAGGGGAAAAATCATTGGAGAGAAAAGGATGTAATGAAAGTGATGAAGGAAGAGAGAAACCATGTGAGTATTTCGGCTTCAGTGTTTAATTGTGGTTTTGCTGGACTGGGTGTATTTTGTACAAGGATTTCTCATTGGGAGGGAGAAAAAATAGACACTAAAATTTTTTAAAAAGCCCAATAACATTTTTAAAGAGAGCAAAGGCTCCACAAAATGGAGGAGGGCAAGTGTCCTAATTTTTTTCAAAGAGTGGAAATTTTGGCCCCTTTCCCATGAATCTTCCCTCCTCCTGTCTGGGACAATATAAATGCCTGTTCTGAGGAATGATCAGGCCCATTCAGCAGAGCACCTTCTCTTCATCTTATTGCTTTGGGCAAAGGGCACTGGATGATGTGGGGGCCAAATCCAGCTGTGCCTCTCCCTGTCAGTGATACTGAGCCCATCATTCAACTCAGGGAATTGAAAGGGGGCAGACCAGGGAAAGAAACAAGGAGGCACTAAGTACCTACTATGTGCCAGGCACTGTGCCAAGGACTTTACAGATACGACCTCAGTCAATAATAATAATAATTAACATTTCTACATTACTTATTTCATGTGAGGCACTATACCAAATACTTTGTAGAGAAGATCCCATTTAATTATAATAACACCAACATTTAAATAGTGCCCTATGAGTTAGGTGCTCTTATTATGCCCATTATGCAGATGAGGAAACTGAGGCAAACAATTTAAGTGACTTGCCCAGGTTCACACAGCTTCCAAGTGTCTGAGGCAGGATTTGAACTCAGATCTGCATGACTCCTGGCCCAGCGCTCTATCCACTGGGCCACCAGCTTCCACATTTGCTTCTGGAAGCTCCACTGGATCTGGAATCAGGGTCCTAGGCAGTTTTTATTCATGACTTGACTACATACCAGGTCATAAGTGTGACCTTGAGCAAGTCACATCTCCTCTGTGAATCCATGTTTGGTCTTTTCAATCTGTAAAATGAAGAGAACTGAAACTTCCCTTCCTATTCTCTATCTTATACTCCTACGAAATCTGTGCCTGAACTCAGGAAGACATCAATATCTGAGGCTGTCTGAGACATCAAAGCTGGCTGTAATTTCCTAAATCACCCCCAGCCCCAGATCTTCTCCCCATCCCAGCCCCCACACTCACAGAAGGAGGAGGAAGAGGGCTACCAGACTTGCTGTACCAGCTCCGCAGAGGACACCCAGAATCATACCTTTCTGGAATACATGAGAAGGCATGGGCCCATCTGGAATAAAGGACGTCTGGGGTGAACACGTGTGGTCACCACATAGGACTCACTGTCCTCAGCGCCCTTGGTCCCAGCTGCCTCCCTCCCCTGTACCTCACCTGGCACTAGCTGGAACAGGAAGGTGTGGCTCCCTTGTGAGTTCTTCCCCTCACAGCTGATATTGATGTTGGGGACCCTGCCCACCTTCACACTCAGGATGCTGCTGGCCCAGGGCCCAGACCTGTTTGATATCACCTGGAAGGTGTCGCTGCTACCATTGCTCTCCACAGGCTTACCCCCTACCCACCAATGCAAGGAGGGGGCTGGCTCTGCTTGGGCAGAACAGGTACAGAGCAAGCCCTCCTTGACCCAGGAGCAAGAAGAGCTGAGCATCCTTGGGGAGTCTGTGGGAAGATACAGGAGACCACCCCTTAGCAGGTGACACTCTCCTTATCTCACCAGCACCCAAGCACAGCTCAATGCCCAGGCCCCTCACACTCACACTGCACAGAGACACTCAGGGAGGCCTGCTTGGAGCCCAGAGCATGCTCAGCCAGGCAGGTGTAATTCCCTCCATCTGCTGGCCCCAGGTGTGGGAGATCCAGGTGCAGGACCCCATCCTCTGAGGGCTGGGAAGAGGCCAGGGTTTGGTCCCCCAGGAGCCAGCTCAGTGTGGCTGGGGGATTGCTGTTGGCAGCACAGAGCAGGTGAAGGGACCGTCCCTCCTGCACCACAAGAGCTGAGCTGTTTCCTGGCACAAAAACTGAAAAAGATCAGGATGTCCCAGTAGTGAGAAGCTGGAGGGACCTCAGACATCCCCTAGTCCCCACCTGCACTGTACCCACAAGGGTGATGGGAGCTAGAAAGCTGGTGGGACTTCTCCAAGATCACACAAGGAAGGGGCAACTGGAAGAGGCCAAGAGGCCAGGCAGGAAGGAAATCCCCCAGGCCCAGCCCAGCCTGGATTCCTGCCCCCTTCTCCCACCACTCCATCTTACCTGCCTGCTCCTCAGAGCCAGACAATGAAAGTACCTGTTGTCTGTCTTCCTGCTAACAGCCCCCACTCAGCCTAACTCATGTTCCCTGCCTTTCCTTCAGATTGGGTTTTTGTTTATCTTCCTTTCCTTTCCATTCCTTCCTTCCTGCCTCCCTCCTTCCATTTCTTTCTTCCTTCCTCCCTTACTTCCACTGTTTCCTTCTTCCATCCTTTCTTCTATCATTTTATTTTTTTTCATTCACCTTCCTTTTTCGTCTTTTTTCTTCCTTCTTTCCTTCCTTCTTTTTACCTTCCTTCCACCATTCTTCTTTTTTCCTTCCTTTTATTTTTTCTTTATCTCTCTCATGTCTTGCTTTCCTTCATTTTTTCATTTTTCTTGCCTTTCTCTCTTCCTTTCTTTTTTCTTCCTTTTTCCCTTCCTTTCTTCCATTTTCTTTTTTATTTCTTTGTGCCTTTTTTCTTCCTTCCTTATGCTTCTAACCTTCCATCTTTCCTTACCTCCTTCCTTCCTTCCTTTCTTCTTTCTTTCTTTTTTCTTTCTTATTTCCCTTCTTTTTCTTTCCTTTCTTTCATCTCTTCCCTCTGGGTCTGGAGAATGAGATTCCCTGTCTCTCCTGTCTGCCTCACCTCCCTGACATCCATGCCCACCCTCACAGTAGAAGCTGAAGCACCTGGGGTCCCCTCCCAGCCCTCCCCCAGGGGCTCTGCTAATACCTGTCTTCCTGTTGTCCTGGGCCATGGAGATGGCCACATTCTGCACAGCATCTGCAACAGAAGGACCAGGCTGGCTGGGGGATGGGGCTCTCTGCCCAGCCTTGCCTCAGGCAGGGAAGACATTAAATTCAGAAGCACAGAACATCAGAGTGGAAGGGAGCTCAGACACCATCTAGAATAATCCCTACCTGACTGGAACTGGCACATGAAACCACAGAGAGTGAGAGAGAGAAAACAGGAAATCCCAGCTTGTGTATTTACTGGGATGCAGTTTTCCTTGCCCTGGTCCAGGAAAAAGGCATCTGGTCCATGACCCTGGTATCTTAAAGCACCCCTCCCTCAGCCCTCTCACTTGGGGGATGCAGGCCTCCTGACTCTAGCACTCACAGGACACATTGAGTTGGACTGTTCTCTCTGTGCTCACACGGCCTTCAGGAAGGGTCACCTTACAGGTGAGGTTGGTGTCATGATGCTGGTGCCCAGGGATGAAGGAGACCTCTGAGGAGTGGGATGCCCCAGAGCTTTGTGGCCTGGAGGAGAGGGCAGCCCCCTTCCAGGAGAATTTGAAGGGCCTGTTTTCCCCACAAGTCCAAGGAAATGTGCATTTCACAGTCACTGGGTTCCCTGACTCTAGCATCTCCGGAATAGAGATGTCTGGTTTCTGGATCAAGTCTGGAGAGGAGAGAGACAGTGAGCCATGGGCTGGGGAGGGGAATTAGGCCTCAAGTGTCCTTCCAGATGCTGGCACCTCCCCCATCCCTCAGGTCCCTACTCTGTTCCCCTCATAGTATGACCCGTTCAGTCCCCTCCCTGCTCATTACCAGCCTTCTAGTCATCCTCTCCTATCCTCAGGAATTGACTTCTTAGAGCATGAGTTTAAATAGATAATGTTTTAGAGATAATATAGTCCAACCCTCAGATATTACAGTTGGTGAAACTGAGGCCCAGAGAGGTGCAGTTACGTGCTAATTGTCCCACCGGCTATAAGTAGTCAATCAGGGGTTGAATCCATCTTTTCTGGGAACTGTAAGTCTACTGCTCTTTCTAGCCCACCCCACAGCCTTCTTAGCTTTGCCTAGGGTTCTGCTTCCTCACAGAGAGGAGCCCACCATCTTCCTTTCCATACCAACCTATGGAATCTGGAGCATAGCTTCTACATCCTTTCTTTCCTTCACCGTTCTCCCTGGGTTCATGCCCCTATGTATTCCCCTCTCCCCTTGTTGTTTCCTCCACATGGGACCTCAAGCCTGAGGGACCTGCCAGGCCAGTCTCCTGCTGAGGTTCCCCTTCCTCCTGCCCTGGGGCCCTCTGCTGGAAGGTGGTTCCTCACCTGTCACATTCACATAAAGCACAAGTTTCACATGAGTATAGTTCATTTGTCCCTCTCTCTCCATCCAGAAGTAATATTGCCCACTGTCAGCCTTCTTGGCGTCTGTGATGCTCAGGGAGCAGTTGGCCATCCCAGGACTCCCTAGAAGGCGGAATCGGCCCCAGACTTCTTCTTCTACCTCCCGATTTGGGTCATTTGTGGCCACAAGATCGTCATATTTTTTATGCATCCTTTTCCTAAACCAGTAGCCATGCCCTGGGGAGACTTTGGGGATGTGTTCCAGATGGGAGGAGATGTTGCAGGGTACCCGGGCACACATCCCTTCCTGCACAATCACCGTCGGCTGCCTCTGGACCTCATATCTTGTAATCTGGCACAGACACCCTGGGGGCAGAAGAAGTCTGGGTCAGTATCCCCAACCGCTCTTTCTCCTCACCCAGTGCCCTCTGTGGTCTAGCCCCACTCACCCTCCCAGATAAGGGCCACCAGTAGCAGCATCCCTGGCACTGGAGAAAGCCCGGCCTCAGACGTGTCCGTCCGCCTCATGGTTTCCTCTGATCAGCTCTCCCCATGGTCAGAACAGAGGGGAAGCTGAAACAGGAAGCTGCTGTGTGGAAACAGGCAGATTGCTATTTTCATCAGAGGAACAACCAGTTTGCTCCAGTCCAGACAGACTTGGGTTCAGTGAGGAGGGGTCTCTGGTCTTGAGCTAGCTCAGGAAATGTTCAAAATTTACTAATGCGGGAAGACAGATCTCTTACAAAGGCTGAGGTTGTGGGTGTTTTGTGGAATAGAATGTTTCTATAACAGATAGGGGTGCGGTGGCTAGTGACTTCAAGTTCTGAAGACACAAAGACAAACAGTTCCCATGAGGAGGGAAGAGGGGATGTCTCATCTAAAGAAACCAAGGAACTCACCAGCCAGCTTAGGTTTGAAAGAGACATGCGTGGAAAATGGAAGCAAGCTCTCTCTCTCTCTCTCTCTCTCTCTCTCTCTCTCTCTCTCTCTCTCTCTCTCCCCCCCCTTCTCTTTTCTTCCCTGTCTTCAACTCTCTTGCCCCTTTCTCTTTCTTTCCTTTTTCTTCTCCCTCTCTCTTTCCTTCTTCCTCTCCTTCCTTTCCTCTTCCTCCCTTCATCACAGGCCTGTGCCTGAATCTGTTGGCCAAAATGACTACTTATCTGCTAGGTGAGCTGACACCCCCAGCAAAGACTACAAAGTTCTGGATGCTATGCATAAACCAACCAGCCCAAAATATTGCAAAACAAACAACATTTCAGTTAATATTAGTAGAGACCTGGAATGTTTAAACAGAAGGATGCAGCCCAGTAGCCCTCAGCAGGATCCCATCACTTTAATGGAGGAGGAAGTAGCAGCCCCTGAGTAGGCCACCTACAAATCAGATGTGTATTAGGAGAAACTACTTTCTTCACCTACAGGAATGTTTCATGAGGGGGCAGCTGGGTGGCACAGTGGATAGAGTTCCGGCCTTGGAGTCAGAGGACCTGAGTTCAAATATGGCCTCAGACACTTGACATTTACTAGCTGTGTATCAAGTCACTTAACCCTGATTGCCACACCAAAAAGCAAAAAAAAAAAAAAAAAAGGAATGTTTCATGAGATCTGAAATATGTTGGAAGAAACTTATCAAGCAGCCTTGCTTGATTTCATAAAAATGAGCGATGCGACTGACCCGAGTAGGATCTCAACCCCAATTTTTGGTTGGATAGTGTGATTGTGGCTGTCCTTGGGTGGTTTTCTAAAACTGTGTTGCTCCAAACTACACATAAATTCCTTGACTTTTTTTTGTTGGATTAGGAACAAGCAGGGGATATCTGTGCATGCTCTGCATAACCCATGAGGGAGGGCAAATCTAAGCATTCTCTAAGGACTTCTCCCTCACTGCCTATCCCCTCAGTTAATCAGGAGCTGATGCCCAAGGCAATTAAGTAGAGAGATACTTGCTGGTCTTTATGGAAGAAAGGAAGGAAGGAAGGAGGGAAGGAGGGAAGGAAGGAAAGAAAGAAAGAAAGAAAGAAAGAAAGAAAGAAAGAAAGAAAGAAAAGAAAAGAAAGAAAAAGAAAGAAAGAAAGAGCATTTACTAAGTGCCTACTATGTGCCAGGGCAGCTGGGTGGTGCAGTGGATAGAGCAATGGGCTTGGAATCAAGAAGACTCATCTTCCTAAGTTCAAATCTAGTCTCAGACATGTCCTAGCTGTGTAACCCTGGGCAAGTCACTTAACCCTATTTCTCTCACTTCCTCATATGTAAAATGAGCTGGAGAAGGCAATGGCAAACCACTCCAATAACTTTCCCAAGAAAACCCCAAAATTGGGTCATGAAGAGTCAAACACAACTGAATAACAACTCTGTTATTGACTCATTTGGTCTTCAGGAAAAACCCTAGGAGGTAGGTGCTGTTGTTACCTCCATTTTACAGGTGAGGAAACTGAGGCAAACAGTGTTGACATGGCTTGCCCAGGGTCACACAGCTAGGAAGTGTTTGAGGCCACAATTGAACTCAGGTCCTCCTGACTCCAGGCCCTGCACTCTATCCACTGCATGACTTCTGTATCTCTTTATAAGCTACACTCACAAGGTCAGAGGAACCAATTTGTCTAGTGCTAAAAGAACTAGTGGATGTGCTGGTTGAACTGTAACAAGACCCTCTGAATCGGTGCCCTCAGACCCTGGGAAAGTTTTAGATCTCCCACCCTAGAGCTGCCTTGACTGGGGAGTGAGGGCAGATTTACCCAGCCACCTGCCAGACCATGGCCCACAGCCTGTCCAACTGCTACCACAGCCAGCACCATCTTGCCATCTTCTCTTTCACTGCATTTGTATCCTTTGACCCCTTTTCTTCATCCTGCCCTGGATATCAAATAAATACTGCGGTTCCTTCCACAAAGAGGGTGTTCACCTGTCTGATGGTTCCACTCACCATCCCTTGTGACTCCCTGAATCCAAGCACCCTTTATCTATCACTACAGCCAATAGGTATTGTCCACCCTATTAGAACACAAGTTCCTTGAAGACAGAAGCTATATCACTTCTGTATTTCTATGTCCAGTGCTTGGCATCATGCATGGCTCATGGTGAGTACTTGGTACATATACCATGAAGAATGGGAGTGGTACATTGAAAAAGGGTTAATATCCTTTTAAAAAATAAAAAAAAGGAGAAGATAATTGACTTTGTAGGTTATTAGTCAACTACTGCTCAATTTTGCTTTCTGATAATATTCTAGAATGTGTAATTAAAGAAGTTGTATTGGGATCAGGCATATATGCAGAGACCCTCTCAGCTTGCTCAGCTGCTGCAAGCTTCTGATGTGGGAGGTCTAGGCAGATGGCTTCCAGGAGCATTGTGATGATAAATGGGGCAATGGGCTTTGAACAGATGGCAGAGCATATTTTAGTCACCTTGGCTGGGAGGAACCTTTTCTGATTGGCTACAGAGTCGGATTGTTGGGGACTCTTGAAAAGACCCAAAGCAACTTCGGCTACCCCTTGGCTTTATTTACATCTTAGGGAGCTGATGGCATCTACACAGTAAATACCCTTGTAGTGGGAAGCAAGCAGAACCAGGAGTTGTGCATGGTAACAGTAATATTGTAACGATGATTAACTAAGAACACTTAGCTACTCTTATCAATAGAATGATCTGCCACAACTCCAGATAGAGAAGTAATGGACTCTGGGTACAGAATGAAGCATATTTTTTTCTCTTTATTTTTCCTGCCTTTTCATTCTTTCATTCTTTCATTCATTCGTTTTTTTTTTTTTGTTTTTTTTGCAACCTGGCTAATATGGGACTATGTTTTGCGTGACTTTATAGGTATAATGGGTAACACAATTCTTGCCTTCTGGATGGAGTCAAGGGAAAGAGAGAATTTGGAACTGAAAATAAAACATCTTGAAAAGAAAGACCATGTGGGTAAAGGGGTTGGTTTTAGGGTTTTCTTACCTTCTGAAGCCATATAGTACACAAGAAATGGGTCTGAGTCATTTGTTCTTTTCTATTCTAGGTTCAGAGTGGAGTCTAGCACCACAAGAGAATGAATATGAATCCACAAGAATATGAGAATAGGAATCCAGGCCAGGTTGCAGCCAGCACAGCCTGGAGGAGAAAGGGGAACTTGAAGAGCTACTCTCTGCACCAATGTCAACAGAAGTTGGGCTGAGGACTCATCAAGCAGAAATGCTGACCTTGGGACACGAATTTGGTGGGTCCAATGCTACATAGGAACTGAGCTAAGTCTGAACTTATTCTATCAGAGATAGGGATGGCTTAGCAGAGAGAATGCCCTGCATGTATTAGGGAAAACGTCTATGTTTGTTCTGGCTATACCTCTGAAGTAAATGGGTCTTTGTAAAAGTTACTCAATGTTAAGTGATTAAATAGAATTGAGGCACTAATAACTGGCCCATATCAATGGGGAAAACAGCTGGTAGGGGTTTCAGTCAATGATAGTGGAGGAAAACCTGCCCTCTTATCCCTTTAGAACTTTGAAGGGAGTTCATGAAACAGCCTGTACCTGAGAGAAAGGACCACAGCCTACAACGTAGAGCATGAACTTGACTTTTCGAGCACAGGTCATGCCAAACTGACTTTCATTCCTTTTTTAAAAAAACAAACAAACAAAACAAGAACAAAAAAGGGATGTGCTTTATCACATTTTTTCAGTGTATTCTTTTTTTAATTTACAAGGATAGATAGATGATAGATTCACAAATCAGCTATTAAGCACTTACTCAGTGGTGCCAGGTACCATGCTAAGCAATGGGCATATAGATAAAAACAAGAAATGATAGTCCTTACCCTCAAGGAGCTTATATTCTGATGAAGGGAAAGATTATACATTTGCTGAATTGGAAAAGTGGGAAGGGGAAGGAGAAGGGGGAAAATCTGGAGAATCAGGAGTGGTGCCAAGAGAGATGTGTGCCTGAATAGCCCAAGAACCTCATGAAATAGTGGTCCAAAATAGGCATTCATCAATCACAAGAGAGGACCACAAGGATGGAGGTATATCCAGGCTGCTGGGAAGGAGATTAAAAAAAGAAACTCAGGAAAGTTAAAAATGGAGTTCCTTTTACACATGGTATAGTTTCTCTACTGGGTTTCTTGTGAAGCCCTGACTCCAACCTGACCTTGGCTTCCAATGCAGACACTGCCATCAGCTGATCTGGGGATGCTACTAAACCACTGATGAAAGACTAGTAAGTCTTCCTCTGGCCAACTGGGGAATAGGAGAAGGAAACCTGCAATCCTCTCCCAATTAAACAAAAAGAAAAAAGGAAAAAAAACTCACAAAAATGGTTCCCTCATTGGCAGTCTCCAAAAAGACAAGCAAGTCTTGTTCTTAATTATAAGTCCATTACTTCTCTCTCAAGAGGTAGGGAGCGGACTTCATCTTTGGATATGTAGAATCACATTTTGTTATTGCATTGATCTGAGTTTTAAAGTCTTTCAAAGTTGTTTGACTTTATAATTTTGTTGTTGCATAAACTGTTCTTTTGGAACTGTTTGTTTCTGTCTTCAAGAGTTCGTCTAGGTCTGCCCAGCTTTCTCCCAAAACGCT